TGACTGTCCGTCCAGGCGACACTCGTCCAGTTGACTGTCCGTCCAGGCGACACTCGTCCAGTTGACTGTCCGTCCAGGCGACACTCGTCCAGTTGACTGTCCGTCCAGGCGACACTCGTCCAGTTGACTGTCCGTCCAGGCGACACTCGTCCAGTTGACTGTCCGTCCAGGCGACACTCGTCCAGTTGACTGTCCGTCCAGGCGACACTCGCCTAGTTGACTGTCCGTCCAGGCGACACTCGTCCAGTTGACTGTACGTCCAGGCGACACTCGTCCAGTTGACTGTCCGTCCAGGCGACACTCGCCTAGTTGACTGTCCGTCCAGGCGACACTCGTCCAGTTGACTGTCCGTCCAGGTGACACTCGTCCAGTTGACTGTACGTCCAGGCGACACTCGTCCAGTTGACTGTACGTCCAGACAAGTCGTCTATGCGGCTTCAATAATTAACCACTAAAAATTAACAAGCGTTGAACGCAAACAAATGAACACTTGACCAGGTTTAGATTTGTATTTATTATGATCTGAAGCATTAAAGCAGACGCACGTTTGATATTGAACATACTATCACGGTAAAAATATTAAATATCATCAGACCCGCCAGATTTAACTGATCAGACCGGTCAGATTTAAATTATATGAGACCCGTCAGATTTCAATTATGTAATACCCGTAAAATTTAAATTATATCAGATTTATTTAACTCGGGATTATTCGGCATGTCATTGAGTGTGGAAAATCTACGGGACTTGTTGCCAATATTTAACTACCTCCACATCTACGTTAGGCTATGGACAGTAGTAAAAATGCAAGCGACCGCCGCACTGTACGTATTACTACGAAAAATAAATTCTTAAATGAAACTTAAATGTACGTAAATAGATGCAAATAATCGGAAGAATAAATTTCCAGGTATGGCATTCAGCAATTCTTGAGAAGCTTCAATTTTTCTACATACATATAAGCACCGTTAATATTTTTTCCATCATTAGAATCATACTTATTTTTATATTAATTAGATTCGCTAAGTTTATTCATTCGTAAAAGATATTCAAATTTTCATTCGCCCATGCTATGAACGTAAAAATAAAATCATGTGCGTTTGTGGTTGAAAATTTTCCAGTTTAATTTGAACGCGTGGGTAGTAAATGCAATTAAGCGAAGCACGGAGGCGTGGAGCGGAGCGAAGGGAAGATCGCTCTGCTTGAACGCGCATCGTAAAAAATATATTAAGTTTTTTTAATATATTAAGCTATAAAAGTATATATTAACATAAATAAAAAAATATATTAAAGGTCTGTTTGCCCTTTACTCTCAGAGATGATTGGGTTGGAAAAAGAAAAAATATGTATTTTTTTCAAAGAGATGAAACACTTTTTAGCGCATTTTCTCATTTATGGAAAAAATGGTGCTATTGTGCTTATCATGTCCGTCCGTCCGTGACGTGAAGTCACGGACGGACGAGAAAATGCGCTCTGTCACTCACTGCAGTGAGTACTGATCTAATTTTTTATCTATTCGCCCTATTGTGGGTCAACTAGATAACCAAATGGATTTGTGAACAATGACTCACTCATTTCTTTGAATGTTTGATGGTGATATATAAAACCAAGAATTTAAAAGCAAAGACTGACCGTAAATTCATCATATCTTCATTGAAAATATTTTGTAAATTCAGTCCATCAGCAGCTCAAAAACTGGAAAATTTTGAGTAGATATGAATGAAGTTCCCGACGTTGACATGATGCAGTGGGGGAGTTCCCGATGTTGACATGATGCAGTGGGGGAGTCCCCGATGTTGACATGATGCAGTGGGGGAGTTCCCGACGTAGACATGATGCAGTGGGGGAGTTCCCTATCAAGCTTATCACTTCCCCTTGAATTTGAGGGCGCCGAGGGTAACTTCGTTAGACTTACATTTCAAACCAGAGCAAAAGCAAGCAACTCTGTATCAAATCATGGGAAAAACAATCTGACCTATTTTCATCTGAATTAAATGTTACACATGTTACATGTGCGTTGACATGACTCATTAGAGAAACACATTTTTTTAGCATGAATTCATCCACAAACATGTAGTGGCACTGTGACTGCTCTTCATGAGATCGATGGAGGCTCGTGACGTCACTTGTTGCCATAGTAACCCCGCGCGCTGATTGGTCGTGGCTACGTGAAGGAATATTCGTGAGCCAATAGCAGCCAAAACTGCATCCAGACCGCGATGGAACGAGCCTCGCAATTGGCGCTGGATTATGGACTAGAGGCGCTCTAGACCTCAGGCTGGCAGTGCTGATTTGGTCGTTGAGGGTTTAGGTAGTGTTTGATATACTTCGTTCCTTTATCAAAGTTTCATTTAATTAGGAACACTGTTTAATACAGAGATAAGGATATACTACCATAGGCATACACAGAATACTTCATATGCTTTTTACGTTTCCTGATGCAGAGGGTTCTGAGAATTTGATGGCTGGCACTGCGCCGAAGAAACGATAGTCCATTGATTTGTTGAAGAAGTTCAGTAGGTGGCCTCTTATCGTGAATACTTGCTGCAGGATCAACCGTCAAAGTGGAGACCTCGGAGCTGCTAGTGTCGCTGTCCAGCATATTCAAGATGGGGACAGTGCTCAGCTTCAGCCCTCGGGAGCAGAAGCCTTATTATGGCGATTATACTCTCAATAATCACAATTACGAGGCACTTAATAACACTCGTAATAGGGAGAAAATCATCAACAACGAAAATGCTAATATTTTAAGCGAGAAGAATTCTCTTGATCGCAATGCGTACAAGAAGCATTCTTTATTTATCAACGCCCTCAGTTGGAAACGTTTTGCCTCCACGAACAAAAAGAAAATAGATAACAGAAATAAGAATAATTTATCGCTTCGTCAGCCTTTGGATAACATTCATCCTTTCATTGATAACAACAAAAACATTCAAAAAGCTCTAAGCTGCTATAACATCAGACCAAGCTCGGTAGGTCAACTTGACTTGGTGCGCAACAATAACCACACTCATACCCCAACGGACAAACTACCACCAAAGGCTGTCCTAACCTCAGCACCATCGAGCAACAACCACCAAGACCTACAACAGGTTGCCAAGTACACGACGACTACAGTGCTACCTTTAACACGCCAGCACATACAACCAGTCCAGCAACTTGTGAAGCAGCATCAAGTGCTCCCTCATCACGCTCATCATCAGCAACAACAACAGAGGCCCATACACCCAAAGCAGTTAGGAGGAACAAGTCCTAGCAGAAAAACTGTTATTCAAGCGTCGACGTCGGAGCTGCTCAAGTGTCTGGGCAGCCACTTGCAGACGACGTGCTCACAGCTGGCAGACTTCCAGGCCGCTGATGCCGTCATGTGGCTCAGGACTGTTGATCGTTCGCTGCTGCTGCAGGGATGGCAGGTGAATTACTTGCATAAGTCCTGGTGGCAGGTGACTGAATGAGACTAGTCTTGGTGGCAGGTTACTGAGACTAGTCCTGGTGACGGAGACTAGTCCAGGTGACGGAGACTAGTCCTGGTGGCAGGTGACTGACACTAGTCCTGGTGACGGAGACTAGTCCTGGTGGCAGGTGACTGAGACTAGTCCTGGTGACGGAGACTAGTCCTGGTGGCAGTCCTGAGGGCAGGTAACTAAGACTAGTCCTGGTGACGGAGACTAGTCCTGGTGGCAGGTGACTGAGACTAGTCCTGGTGATGGAGACTAGTCCTGAGGGCAGGTAACTAAGACTAGTCCTGGTGGCAGGTGACTGAGACTAGTCCTGAGGGCAGGTAACTGAGACTAGTCCTGAGGGCAGGTGACTGAGACTAGTCCTGTTGGCAGGTGAATAACTTGCACAATTCCTGGTGGCATTTGACTCAATTGGTTGTAGCAGTTGCCTAAATCAGACTAGTCCTGAGGGCAGGTGAATTACTTGAACTAGTCCTACTGGTAGACTACTTAGGACTAAGTCTGGTGGCAGACTAACTTGGATCAAGTCCCGGCATGCAGATTTGCAGCGGCGGTGGTGCAGGCTGACAAATTAGGTCTCAGCATCGAGACCTTGTATGTACGGAGGAAATTGATCACATACTTTTTGTGACTTTAGATCATTCAACTATCTCTTGAAAGCGTAATTCAATAACATTTGTGATTTTACTACATTGGATTACAGGTTTACATTTTTAGCTCTATAATCCTTATCAGTTTTATTTCTGGTGACCATTTATTATTTACAACGTCAATTATGTAATGGATCTACCGAATTTGGCCGGCATATAACTGATAAAAGTTTTACATGGAAATGGGTCCATTGTCTAGTCCATGCTCGCTAGAACAGAAAATATTGAATTAATTTGCCGATATGTCTGACCGATGTTGATACCATCTTCACGAATTTTTTATTCATTATTCACATTGTGAATACTGATTTCTACATTATTTTGGCTTAGCATTGGCTTAGTACGGTCTTCTTTGACTCATTCAACAAGAAGAAGTCTAAAAATGTCTTGTTTCGTCGAATTGTAAGTGAAAATGTTTACAATGTGAATAATAAGGATTTATTTTCTATCGAACAGGAATTTATTTTTCGTACAAGAATTGATATATACTTTCATGCAATTGTGGCATCTTGCCTCGGTTAGGAATATATTTTTTTGTGCAATAGAAACACACGTGCAGATGCTATTCCAAGAAAGGCATGAATAATTATTTTGCATCATCGAAATAAATTTTTGGACAAAAAAATAAAAACATTAAGTCAATATTAATACTACATATTTATGATCCCTGAAAATCTGAAAATAATCACGCAATGGTTATCTTTAGTGCAAAGTTAAAGTAACGGGCAATCTAATGAATCTTGGTAAAACAATAAATTTAACTGCACATTGAATGGAATATTTTCAGTACACTACGAGTATAACAAGGAATATGTCTACAGAGGGAAATGAAATTATGTGAACATTGCAAGCGCACGATACTCCAAGAAGCGTAAACTATATTGGTGCATATCAAATTTCAAGATTAAAATTCAAAGTGAATTTTTAATGTAAGAAAAATATGTGATCGAATTTCAAACTAAGTACACCGCTTTACAAAGATACTCTTATGAAGCTTCAGAAAGGACTTAGAAACTCAAACACGAAAACAACCTTAAACTGGACATAATGGTCTTCCAATATGACTTCATTATCGAACAGTTCTGAATCAATACATAAGCAAAAACAAAATTTCTCAATATATGGCGCGCATCGGTCGCTAAATAGCGCTTATTACATCACAGAATGTTTCTTTCAAAGAAGCAGTGTGATGAAACACAATATCAATCAAAGAACGTTTTACAAAAAGTTATCATGAAAATACTGTCGGCTTAAATGAATTTTCAATTAAAGGAAGCATGTTTACAGAACATATTTTCGAATAAAAATATTAGTAGGAGTAGACTTTTCAAATAAGTTATCTCAAGAGAATCATTTGTAAAATATATGTTCATACATATTGTTATAAATAATTACATATTTATCAAATAAAAAGTGGGAGCAGGATTTCTCTCTAAATAAATCGCCCCACGGCCCGGCGCAGCGTAGATTGTGTCAAGGAAGAAGTGTGATGAAGATCAGCCAGACGACACGCCGGCAGCCGCGGCAGGATCGATAAGCGCTACCACAGGGAGCCCAGCCAGCCAATACCAGCACAGCCGTGCAGCTCCAGCGCTGGTGGAGAATAAGTTCATGTGTGATGCCTCAATCCAAGCAGCACAGCCGACAGCCGTGCAGCTCCAGCGCTGGTGGAGAATAAGTTCATGTGTGATGCCTCAATCCAAGCAGCGCAGCCGTGCTGCTCCAGCGCTGGTGGTTCCCTGATAAATTTATTCGATTTTAAACTTTAAAAAGTGAACTTTGAACCTTCGAAGTGGAATCGTTACTACCACAACCCTACGTAATATTCACATGTGCAGCGAAGAATGGTGCCACGTTTTATGCGTACCTTTACCTTAAAACCAGACAATATTATTAGCCTTGGGTAACAGTCGTCGGTGTAGCCGCGGCCTACCAGAGTTTAGCAGGGTTTTCTGGAAAGTTTTACGCGGAAAGTTTAAAAAACATGAATGTAATATAATAGAGTTGGCGTTGATTATGCCATATTGGTCGGCCAACAATTCTTAACCACCCGGCCATCTTGCGGTTTTCGACCAGAAGCTCACTGCTTGTTGCAGGTTTGGACCCCCTATCACACTGCTCCAATCTTGACGATCGTAACGACTAAGCCATCCCCAGTATTTAGCACGGTTTTCTGAACTACGCGGAAAGTTTTTAAACTAATAAATGTAATATAATAGAGTTGGCGTTGATTATGCCATATTGGTCGACCAACAATTCTTAACCACCCGGCCATCTTGCGGTTTTCGACCAGAAGTTCACTGCTTGTTGCAGGTTTGGACCCCCTATCACACTGCTCCAATCTTGACGATCGTAACGACTAAGCCATCCCCAGTATAAAATACGATCAAAACACGTGCTCCTTCGGCATCCCTGTTTGTCATGCAATATGAAATCTAAATTCCATTTATCTATATAACATCAGCCTACATATCTCCAATGAGTGAAATATTGTACAGAACTTGAATTGGATATTGATTGGGGATTGATCGATGCAATCTAGGTATGCTGAAACAGTTACACCTCTTCGAAATTCTCATATTTTAATCGGAAACAATATAACATAGTGGTTTTAGTTTTATTTGTTTATAATTTAGGTACTTATACGTGGTGGTTGTAGTTTTCTTGAATGTCAGCGAGCCTATTATTAGAAACGAAGCTCGTGTGATGAATTACGTATGTCTGGTAATTCACTGAGAAGCGTAGCAGAAAGGTCACTGTCACGGACTCCTCAGAAGCGGATATCGCAATAAATAATAGTTGACTTTTAAATCATACATTTTATGAAGTAACATCAATTCCATCTTTCTCCTTCTACATTGCCTAAATCATCTTTTGTATCATTCTGTCACAATTCTCCACAATTTGTTATTCATAGGACTGCACATTACATTCAAATAGTGATATTGTAATTTAGTCCAATATAGGCTCCCATATGTAACATTATCATGAAAAGAGTTTTGTTTTAGGAACGACGGTCCTGGATGCTCATTATGTTTTACCTCGACTCATTCTTATTTTTTTTAAATTATCATGAGTGATGACAATCAGCACTAGGCTAATGAATGTGATTTATTTTTTGCATCAAGTTAATGAATCCTACGAGAGAATTACGGTACTATTTTACATTTAAAACCGAAGCGTTGAGCTATTGCCATTTTATACCTATCATTGTTTCCGCTTCAGTATTAATTATATGCAGTTTTTCGAACCAAAGTAATGTATTCCACGAATAATACATTGTTATTTTTCCAGGACATCGCCTTCATAAACCCAGCGAACGTGGTGTTCGTGTACTTGCTGGTTCGCCACTTGGTGACGGACGACATCGAGAGCGAGCACGAGCTTCAGGCTATAGTCCTGACGTGTCTCTACCTCTCCTACTCGTACATGGGCAACGAGATCTCGTATCCTCTCAAGCCATTCCTTGTCGAGGATGACAAGGACAGGTTTTGGGACCGATGTCTACACATTATCAACACACTCAGCGGTGACATGCTGCGTATCAACGCAGAACCAGCTTTCTTCACCGAAGTTTTCACGGAACTTAAAGCATGTGGTGTACATCCATACAACCATCTCCATTACCACCACCATCACCATCATCATAACTTGCACCCCCAGACACCCACAAGCCCTCATTCCCCAAGCAGCACCATCAGCAGCATCCCCAACACTCCCTCCCCTCAACAAGAACAAAATCCTATCCTCAACAACGACCACCAACAGCTACAGCGATCCAAGTCTCAAAGTCTTGCCTTGCCACTTATGCAAGCACCGCTTAAGACAGCCGCCTGAATGAGCTCTTTTTTCCAGTACGAGGCCACGAGATGCACTTTTCGGCCATTAACTTTCAGGAAATTTTGGTTTTGCAATCTGGACGCCGCGTTATAACGCAGCTAATTGTCCAGATAATTTCGGGACTAACAGCCAACTAGAGGCCTGGTTTTAGAATATAAACAATCAAAAAGCAATCCCTGAAATCAGTCACAAAAGAGCTCTTTTGGTGAACAAGTGTTGTTCTCAGTGAAGCAATTGTTTGTCTGACCAACAAAGTTTTGCATAATAGGTTCAAGCAATGGGTGCTCAAAAACTTTTTCGTAAAGAAGATTGAAAGGAATTGAGGTTCGTCTGTTCCAGCGATGATGTAAAGCCTATCTTCCGGCCGTTAAAAACACAGCAAGGGTTGCACTTATTCCTCGGACGAAAATGTGAACGTTATATTTTCATACGTCATGTCAGAAGCTGGAATTACGTTCAATCATGATGTGAAATATTGCTTAGATGCGAAACGGAAAGTACGAAGGGAATAATTGCTCGGTGCGTTTGCCGGAAGTCGAGGCAGGTTCTGATTCACAGATACGAGTCACAAATTATCTAATAAATCCCAATATTATAAGAATACAATGGATGCATGCTTCTGCTCCTGTTACATGTTCGTACTGTAGTTATTTTTGTTATGGTTTGAAAAAAAAAATACTCTGTAGGGTTTATTAGACTTTTTTCGACTTCATTTACTGTCGTTTGTCGATAATTTCACTCAAATATTTGATGCTTGAATTTGTTTGATAAAAGCTAAGGTTGTTTTTTGAAACATCACTCAAAAATTTTTTATCACGAGTCAAGTACCAAGAGATCATCTTGATTTACTGCATAGCTTGACAGTAAATCGTCAAGTAGTAATAATTTGTTTGCAGTCTAGTCATAGGGCAGCTTACATTCAAGTCATAGTCACATTATTAATATAGAATTGAAGATGCCAAAAAGTAGTGAGTTCAATTTATGAATAAGATGTATCTACTTCGATTGGTTTGGAGGCGAACACATTTGATGAACCATACGAAGATAAGAACCGTAATTGATTTATATCTCTTTATACGACTGCATACTTAACATTTCTTATGGAGATAACGAGTTGGAAGGCAATTCGGGATACAACTGTGCAATCGGCAATTTTAAACTTAAACCTGAATGGAAAAATGTACAATGTTAAAAAAATATCGGCATCCGGCGCCTAAACACAACTTACGCGTACAACTTACGAAATATGCACGCGTGAATTACGAATTTTATTTCCGATGCAGCCAGTATTTGAAGGTAAATAAGTAACTAATTCTATAAAGTGCAATCAAAACACCAAATTAAGATTGTACAGATGGAATTTTGCCATATTTTGCGCCAAAACGAATTGCAACATTGAATTCACTAATTTTTCCCAATTTTCATGTGTGCTTGATTTTCTCATTTGTGTTTCGTTTACAGTTTTTGTACAGATGTAAAATTGACGTCCAACTACTTACGTATTTAGTATATAATAATAATTATAGGGAGCTCCTCTATGAGCAAGCTCAACATTATTAAAGTCAGTGGGGCAGTGTAAGCTATCACCGAAGTTGGCAGTGAAGGATTTTCCATCTTGTTTACTCCTAGTGTTCAACGATGAGAAATTCAAAAACAATCGTTTTTTGGTTAGAAGTTGTTTCGTTCATTTGAGATTCAAGTTGACGCAGGCAGGCTAATGGCTTTCCACTCCACGAGATAAGATTCTTCAAAGGAAAAGATAACGTCACTGAATGGGGTAATTATTCGGTGGTATCGCGCCGTAGGCCCAAGAACGCTGCACCGAAATTGGTTGTTTCCAGGTTTCGTGATGTTTGCTAAGCTTTACATGTTTTAAATATCACAACCGAGCCCTAAAAGGTCTCGTGAAAAACATCTCAGCATTTTTTAATCTGCCCTTTGACTGACGCATTCCTAAAGAGCTTTTCAATTCTTATGGAGATAACCCGATTTTAGAAGAGGCGATTCCTGCTTTTTCGTCTCCTTGAAGTCATTTCTACGTGATGTGTTCCAATGTCCACGCCAATTGTGTAAAAACGATTATGTATTTGACCGTGTAAATTAGATGTAGAAACACCAAGTATTTACTGAATCTCAAGATAATTTGTTTTCGTACCGCATAACCGTAAGATTGTGTGGACATTTCCGAAGGGGAGTTTCTCTACTTTTAGAACTCCATGCACGTACGGCCCTCCCAAAGGGCAATTAAACTTAAGTATTAGTCTTAAAGTTCTTCAGCGTTCGCTGAACTCTTATTGAAACGCATCCATGACCAAATGTTACAATAATCTCAATCTTGGTAAAATAGAATCTCTTTTGCGAGGTCTTGTATCGCTCTATTCGCACCCATCGTCGAATCTGTTTCTGTTCACCGTTTTTTCCATGTGATTTACTCGTAAGATTTCAGTGAAAGGGTATTCAATTTTTAGTGGTGAAACATTACATTCAACTCATCGAACTCTCACATCACGTGATAAAAATAAGGATCTCAATGAATCACAAAACTATTTACTGTTTTCCACAATGATCTTTAAATTCATTGAAGGAATACTTGATGCTTCATCACGCTCACACAACAGCCTTCGCTATTCTTCTAACATTTGGACCTGGACGAACACTTACAACTTTCATCTTAAGATTTCATAATACTTTTTAGCCTGATTATCATTGAGAATACAAGGGGTTCAGTCAAACACTTAGCATATATTCCAAATTAAGCTTCACAGTAAAACCCTTAGTGGCCAACACTGCAATCTAAAACCAAAAATTAGATTTATATCCTTCGTCTACAGATACATTACCCGTAGCTGAAGTTATTCGTATCTAAAGGTCTGGTAACAAGAGATACTGTCAGTAGACTACGGGTTAAGTCTGTTTAAATGTAAATATTGTGTGTGTTCAAGAAGCTTCGGGGATTTTGTGCTTGAATTATTTTCTTCGAGTTGTTTGTGCGTCGCGTCGACCTGACGGCTTTTAACAGAAAACAATCACTATTAATTCCAGCCAATTTATCTCAGTAAAGTGACGTGATTTTGTGTCTACCATTCAAAGGCAAATTAACTTACCAAGGCCAACACCAAAAATTTAATTTTCACATTCCAATCTCTCTAAATAAGCATGAAAATATCACTGATTTAGCCCAACATTAATTACTTAATTACAGTAAAAAGTAACTCAAAAGATTTTTTAGTTTCGTTTTTAACAAAAATTTAAATGAAGCGAACAGAAAAACCGGCTATGTCGAGAGCCTGCCTGCTCTGACATTTTGTCAACATGAGGGGATGCTGTGCAATATTCTATGTTTTGGCTGTAAGTCATAATATTTTAACTAACGCTTTGTTGTACGTATACCGCATGACGATAGCCGAGTATAACAGTAAGTTTTGATGGTCTGACTGGCTTAGACATTCCTCTTTACTGGAGCGAGTAATGCGACCAAACTACAAAGCAACTTTTTCGAACAAATTTAACCAAGAGTCGAGGTCGAGGCCGGGCAAATTATGAATCTCACTTGTCAAACTCTCAGCCCATTGAGCTCCCTTCAAAAAAAAAAAAAAATAATAATAATAAAATGATTAAACAGTAAACAGTTCTGTTCATTTCAAACACATCACTTAACAGTTCTGTTAATTAAGTGAATAGTAAAGTAAAATTATTACATTGACTACGTTTTATTAAACGTAAGTCATTACTCTGATTTTTCCTAAATATTGAGTATTTTCTTCATTCATCAGAGGTACACATCTATACTAATAAATGTACAGGTAATTAGAACCTTGTACCGCAACGCTACATTGAAGTGAACTTAACCTTCATATGTTGGATAAAATGAACATGTTGGCCCAACACTGTTTTTATACTTTGGTTATAAATGCATCTTATTGCCGTTAATTTAATCACATCGTCAAGATTGCTACACCATAGAAAAGTTAAAAAAAACCTTGAAAACATCAGATTTTTCTGCATTATCAACTCTAATCGCAATACCTTGCTTTATAATGTTATATTCTGAACTTCAACGCATCAGGGAGCTATAACACGTGGTCGGACAAAACTTTGCAACGCGTTCATAACATTTGAGTCATAAACAAATAAAATATGATGCTTTGAAATAAGAGTAATACTGAGTGCTGAAAAGCTTAATCCCTGTAAACGATGTTATAGTGCAGGTCACGGCAGAATTTTCTCACGACTACAAAATAATGTTAAATCAGCAAGTATTTACATCTAGAAATAACCGTGTTAATTTGCTTCATTGAACCTCAAGCTATGGAGTAACATTTCTATTTGTTTCCTACATGGATAGGAAATTGTGTGCGTTATCTATACTTTGATTAATAATATTTTATAGAACGCATATATTAGCAGCATTGGTTATTTTCAACATTGTTTATTATTCGAGGGCGATGAACCACAACCAATTGAGAACCATTTATTTTCAACATTGTTGATTATTTAAGGGTGATGAACCAAAACCGGTCCAACGCGACTCATTCTAAAAAAGAACTTTGATGGAGTACGAGAGAGTAGAAACAATTTAGGCTTGAGAGATTAAGTGGATGTTGGTCACAATATTTCCTCATTGTAAACCATTTGTTTGTAAAAACATTTTAGTAGCACCAGGTGATTCTTATCTAGTCTAGCTTCTCAATTAATGTTTAGTTGTATCTCATTTGTTTTGTTTAATATTTTCTAGAACTTACGTCTCTATTTATCTATCAGTAAATGAAGGCGATAAATGAAGCGTTAGATTTTTTATCCCAAATATACTGAGGACTAGCTTGACTCACAAACAGAAAAGTTCGTAACTTTGAACTAACTCATGAAGTTGTTCTAGACTCAGCAGGAAATGATAACGCTGAGCGTAAAACACTACAAACGCGTCTACCTGAATAATCGATTATAATAACAAATCACTATTGAAAAATGGTGATTCAATAATCTAATAATTATGTCATTGAGATGTGCAATAAGGATTTTATTCAAGACGGAAAATTTTCACTTTGAAAATTTGCAGGAAAGGAAGCCTCTGACAATGACATCGGAGAAAACGAAAATTCTCACATAAAGACCAGGATTAAACTAACTTTTGCAGAAATGAATGCTATATTCAGTGGATATTTGAAGAAAAGAACGCAGAATTTAGCGCACATTTGCAGCAACGAACGTTGAATTCAGAAGACATTCGCATAAAAACGCTCTTCAAATTGAACGGACTTTGGTTGATAAAAACCAACAGAAACGAGTGATGAGCAGGTAAGAAAAACACTGACCTTGGTGTCAATAGAGATATTTTACTCTAATACAGAAGGGAATCGAGGGCAGGACTATCATAGAGTAAGGATAGGAGCGGCTTGTTCTTCAAGAAGTTTCTGCATGCTGTCTACGTCGTCGCACCACGCGTTCAGGCGCTCCAACATAGCAGCCAACTGCACAAAAATTATTCAAGGTTACAGTGATTATTTTGTAATAAATCGAGTATTTTGTAACAAATAAAATAAATGTTAATATCGATCTAAACACGAATTCAAGGGTGGTACTATGAATACTATCAATAGATTGCCTAAGTACCTGTAGCGGCCAATTCTGCGTGTGATTGGTGGGTTTAGCTAGAAATGCCGTGAGTGATTAGATGACCAAGAAAAGAACTATTTTTTGATAGTACGGGCCATAATGACACCGTCAACGACGGCAACTAATCAACATTGAACCTCTACCACTTATGTGATGTAGAACTTACTTGAGATCATAGTATCATAAATCAAGGATTATCATATTATCAGCATGAATCGTTGTTAATTAATCAATTAGATCAACGAAATTACACCCCTATGAAGGGAAAATATTTCGTTAATTGTATCAAGAATCTCGTATTTATAGCTGGGCTTAATTTAGCTATATTCCGCCTGAAAGAATCCTGTTGTCACGTTAGTACTTGCCGACTAGTTGTAGCCAATTAGTTAATTGTTGAGTAGTTGTAGCCAATACAAAGTCATACAACATCACATCTAATGTCTCATAACACATGTCCCGCACCTGGGTTTTGTCGAGAACTCTGGGCTGGACCCAAGTGATGTTGACCTTCTGCTCCACTTGATCGATGCTGCCACGTACCAGATCTAGAGACAGTGCTCGCATCACCATCACCTCCACCTGTAACACAACACCTGCTTAGTACCGGGGTATCAAAGTCATCATGTATACCACAATCTCATGGTTGAATTATATAAGGTTGACTCGCGAGGATTGCCGTCTTTCAGTTCAGCTTTTTTTGTTACGTCACTGAGATCGAGAAATGTAAAAAATACCGTCATTCCCATGACGGATTGGTTGACTGCTTTGATCGCATTTCGGTGATCGGTTAATGCCCGTGACGTCACTGAGATCAGTGACGTCAAAGGCGAACAACGAACTACATCCGAAAAAAATGAGCTTCTCATTGGTCAATCTTATACTAGTTCAACCATACCACAATCCTAATCTATTACAGTCGTTAGTCTACATTTCATTTGAAAACAAGGACACAAACCAAAATTAGGGCGATAAGCAAACCGCTTAATGAAGTCACCTGATTGATAGGGAGTCCCGTCTCTTCAGCTACCTCCTCAAATTTCAATTGTCTGTCGAACGCCTTGCGTTTAAAGGTCATCTGCACAAATAATTGAGAATCAACATGAGAAAAATCGTGGAATTTTGAGTAGATTGGTTTCAGATAGACCAATGCATTATTGCACCAAAGATTAACATGAATTTAATACTTAGAGATAGATGGTCAAGTCATAAAAGTATCAATTTTCAGTTCTATTAATTGCTGCTTGAGCAGTTGATATATATAGAACTCTGCGTGAGCCAATGCATAAGTTTATGAGATAAAGTCACTATATAAATACAAAGTACATTAGTTCGAAAATTAGACTAACAGCTTACGAGAGTTCAAACATTAGAATTGCTGCCACTGGAAACATAAACATATTAGAATTTCAGTAGCTGAAAGTTTGAATCTAAGAATTTAGCCTCTCAAAGTTTCAATTATTATAATTGCAGCAATTGAATGCTTTAACAATTGAATTAGCTATAACAAGTTTGAGCACGTGAAGTGTGACAACTGATTGATTGTAACAACAAACGCACCTCCATGAGGCAAAGCAAACGAATTTTCTCTCTGAGCTCAATTTCCTTAGCAAGGAGGTCAGGCTGTGAGCTCCACAAAGGCTTCATGCTTTCGAACTCATTAATGTTGCCAGCATTGAAGGCGAGCAACAGACGCATCAGCCACTCGAGGTTTGTGCCTTTCAGCGACTCTAGTATGGGATGAGCAAGCAGCTCTCCAAAGTTGTATATGCCTTCGCCCAACAAGGCAGCAAGACCTGCAATTGGGATATCCATTGAATAATGACACAATAAAAGATGAGCAGAGTTGAAGCAACAAGGCAGCAAGACCTGCAATTGGGATATTTATTGAATAATGACACAACAACAGATGAGATGTGTTGGAGCAACAATGCAACAAGACCTGCAAGAAATCACAAGAACTATGTGGTAAAAAATTGTTATCTGGATCTTGAGCACAGAAATGAAGTTGAAAAAATAAACAGATAAATTTATTTATAAATAAAACTTTGATTGACTATAAGCAAGTTTCTAACAATGAGACTATAAAGTTTATGCTTACCCAAGTAAAAAGCTTGTTGGGTTCGTTCAGTGGGGTCTGTAGGAGGGTCTGAACATCCAAGGTATCGCAATGAGGCTCGGTAGTAGTCAGCATGAGCCCCAGTCAAGCAATAAAGCTCGGAGGCCAGCTGATAGAATCTGCATCATGAAATTGTGACAAAAAATGTTTTGGACCAGGGGCAAGGCAGTAAACTGACTTCATTACAGAGTTTGTGATGGCAAATTTCCAGGCTCAAATTTACACCTTTTGCTGGTTAGTCACGAGTGGAGTTAAAATTCTTAGTAGTGTCATAATGCATGAAATAAAAGAATCCAATTCATAATCACAGAAAAATGACAACAATTTGTGAAAGGATTTGGATAACTAGGGACATGATATATAGACAGGGAAAAGTACATATGTGAATATAAATGATAATAAAACTCACTTGCCATGAGTTGGTGTCACGCCATCAATTTCATCAAGCATTTTCTCAGTTTCATCCAGAAGTTTTTTTGTGGCTTCTTTATCTTCTAGCTGTCTCAAAGTCACCTACAAAGGAAGAATTATTGGTCAAAGTGTCAAAATATTTTTTAGTATTGTCATCATTTAAATCCCAAATATCATAACTTATGCAAAATCTTGAACTAAAACTTACCTGTGCAATTAAAACTTTGCAGTAGACATGCGACTCCTGATGATCAACAACTTTGGGGCGGATCTTCTCCACGAAGGCAATGGCCTCCTTGGGGTCTGAGTACTGCTTCATGATAGCAGCAGCCAACTCCACCAGGGAGAGGGGGTTGATCCTGAGGGGAGGAATACTATTGAACAAAAAATGCATTTAAAATACATGTAGTGAAGCCGTGGTTTAATATCGATGTTATTACTTTTCAAAGCAAAACACTCAATGCAACAAATTGCTATATAATAAAAATTAAATAAAGGTGATTCAGAAATATAATATCATTATTAGCTCATTCAGAGAATTCAATTTCAACAAAACCAAATTTAAAAAGGCACATGGCAAATGCATCATAAAATGTTTGTCTCTTATAAATAAATGTGATGCAATGTTCAGTCTAATTTCAGGTTTACTTGTTCTCCATCTCGGTGATGAGATTTGAGTAGAGATTGAGTAGCTCTGTACCCTGCTGCATCTCGGGCAGCTTCACCAGCTTCACCAAACCTAGCGTCAGCTGGTGCCATAATCTGGAAATTTTTGGAGGAACTTTTTTATTATTGCATTAATTCTATGCATTTTTGACATAAATCATGCATCATTAATTTGATTACACTTATTTTCAAGTCATGAAGAAATCCAGGCCAATATTAAATACCTCTTGAATACAGTGGAACCCTGCCTTTCCCATTAAAATTAATGGAAAAGAATCTAATTTGTGTTGGACTTTTGCAAAAATTACTATTATACCTATACAAGAATATTGTACTTACAATATGATGAAAAATTATTTTTATTTTGTAATGTCTAAATAAGACATCTTTCTGACCTAAGATTGTGGGTTCATACCGTCAACTGGGGTGACTTTGGCCAAATTGCACTAGTTTTTGCTAATTAAATTCCTACAATATAGGAATGAGGCATTGCTAGTGATAGTAAATTTGTAAATATATTAATGAAATGTTCTTCTTTATATATGTTGTGTCTAAATTGGGTCACTTTTACAGATTAATAATTTTTTTTTTAATTTGCTGGGTGGCCGATGTCACCCCACGATGGGGTCACTTTTACAGTTTAACGATTTTATTTTTAAAATAAGCTGGGTGGCCGATGTCACCCCACAATGGGGTGACTTTGGCCACATGTGTCAAAATGTAGTAAAAATGATTTTGTGGCCATATTCAACCATTTGCAAGGTGACATTGACCACACAAGGTGTTTATATATGGCCTAGAATCTAATTTACGTTTATAACTGGGCATATAGTCTGAAAAAAAAGGAAAAATCAATTATTCCAAACATTTATTGGCTGGCCAATGTCACCTCATTTTGCTCATACACTATGGGGTTACATTGGCCAGCTAATTTTTGAGCATATATATTACATTTGGTAGAAAACGTACCGTCAACCGGGGCTACTCAGGACGGTTTTGAGGGTTTTTTGTTAATAACTTCTTACCATGAAACATTTCATAAACAAGTTTAGGCTCATTTTATAGCTCTTTGCGAGGGCTATCGAATGGCATCTTCAAAAAAATTCCATATGCTATTCGTAAGGTGCCAGAAGCAAAAAAAGAGTGTCCCAAGTAGCCCCGTCGAACGGGGCTACTCGGGACACTTGGAATAAAACTTCATTTTAAAACATTTGAAGCATGCAGAGTGTACTCATCCATTACTAACAGTACTCTGAAGTCCTCCTCTTTCATTGTAGATGATGTAGAGGTAGAATAAATGACATTTTCTGTGATTTTTACTTGTTTTTCCTTTATTGATATGATATTACCATATACATTAATTACCGTATTATTGATGCGATATTACCGTATCCATGAACATGCCATTGAGCATTTACAACAACCTTGTCCACTGCAAGCTTCATATCAGCAGCCTTATAGCATTTTTTCTGTATCTGTAAGCTTACAGGACGGCTTGTAATTTCACACCATTTTAATTGGGTTAAGTGAATTTACTATAAAAAAGATCGTGAAAAACATACCTGAAACAGAAAGGAATGTTTTAGTGACAACCATCATATGTTTTGGAGAAATAAATCATAGTTTAGGTCAATTACTTTTCATTATATGATGCCTGGTGCACAATTCTATATATGACATTCTATGCACAATTTTGTGATGACCGATGATGCACTAATTTTTAGATAAGTGAAAATTTTTTCGCCGAGCAAGGTAAATGTAATCAATATTCTTTGTTTTTAATCAATTTTTTTCTTAACTGGAGCCTTTGCTTACTGAGGTTCTACTGTAATTGCGTTTTTGGGGGTGTCCCGAGTAGCCCACCGTGCGGAAACGGTTGCCATTTTTTTTTGATTGAGGTATGTAAATTCTGCAATTAAAGTTTTCAAGCCGACACCTGGGGGCAACTTTTATGCAAGTAAAATTTTTTAATACAGCAAATATTTTTTTTACTACAGACCTTAGCAGAAGTAACTTTTCAAAACAGCGTTTTTCACACTTTTTTTCCAGGAATTTTTCAAAGCTAGTAAATGTAGTATTTTTTGACTTCCTTTATAGGTACTATATAGATAGGAAAAATGTTGACATTTATGCCACTATACGGTATTTAGTTTTGCAATATTCCAATTAGTTTTGCTACTAAAACAGTTTTACGCCGTGTCAGAGGACTGTCCCGAGTTACCCCGCCAGTCCCGAGTAGCCCTGGTTGACAGTATAACCATTGATACAATCATTATGCAAGGTGCCAAAATATGTGAAAAAAATCTGGTTCCAAAATTCTTTTTGTATCTCAAAATATTAAAGTTTGCACTCAGCATTTTCTTTTCTTTACAGTTCTGTGGCATTCAGTTTGTGTAGGTCAAGCAGGATATACAATTAATGACACAAAACAGTTTCCCATTGATAGATAAGAAAAAACTACATTGGATACCATTTTATTTCAAAAACATAATACAATTACAACAGGTACAAATGGCAGCAAAACAAAATCATAAACATAGGCCAAAGTCACCCCAGTTGACAGTACTTTTATTTCTACCATAATTCTTGGATAAGTAACTACCTAGTCAAAATCTGCATGTTTCTTTATGTCACATTTTTTCCTATATATGATGGTTTGTAAGGCAATTGGGTATTTGGGTAGTATGAAAAGACATTTTTGAGATGGGGTTCAACTGTATAAATACATAATTAAAAATTGTTTACTCTCAGTGTCAATTCTGTAACTGGTATGAATCAAATCTTTCATGCTATGGCCAGAAAATGTTACAATATTTACAATATACTGCTACATGAACATATATAGGTAACAATTCATGGATTGAGGTCATTATTAGCGATTAAAGAATTAATAATATTAGGTCACTGAGATTGAACTATGCCACACCACATAAAATAAAACATTTAGATATAAAAGTATACAACATCTGATATACAGTAATTTTATCAAGTTACAGAAACAATCTATAGAGATACAGCTTGTTTGTGAATTCAAAAGAAGTTGAATGGCTGATAATTTTGATTCTTTGGTGAAAATTTGACTGGCATTGTCCGTTATCTTTGCTTGGTATGATGGATTTCATTACAGACACAGCCAAAACACTCTATTCCATACACATGCTCAACACGTTAAGTGAGTCACGACCCACCAGTGGATCATACCACAGGTATGAAATATGCCCTGAATATGACATAGTTGCACATTTATAACATGTTAAACTACCCATTAGATTTTTTTGAATCAGTTGTTTATAAGTTCCTCTTTTACTAAAAATTTGAGCAAATATATTATACATAATAATGCTGGTATCCATGATACTTTACTGGTCTACTTATA